TAGGGAAACCTGTCAGCTAAGCCACTCCATATCAATTAGAAGTTGCTTCTCCAGAAAAGTTCTGTCTCGTTTATTTTTACAAACAGAGGTTCTACCACTTCTTTTGGGCAAGTACTGCACAACTTAATACATCTAACATGTTTACCTTTCTACAATCACATGCCCCTTACTACTACTACCATTTTGGTGATTACACTTATAAAATATTTTAGGTTCATATCCCCTCTTAGTCATCTCTTGCAAAATGGTTCATATAGTTAGCTCCTTTGAACCTTACTCATAAGTCAGGTCTTCAAGCCTCATGATGACTTTTGCTGATCTATTTTCAAGTGCCCTATTTACAGAGATAGACAAAATTCAGGAAAGCATGCTTAACTATGAAGCAGCAGAACAGTCGACTGAATGTTTTCGTGAAGAGTTGCATGCATCTCAGAAGGAAACAAGACACTTACTTTTTGGCTACATAAAATCAGAGAAACAAATCAGCCATGTTAGTATGAACTCAATTAGAAACCATGGTAGATTTGTACCTTATGGTCTGTAAGGTGCAAATCTACCCTGACTTCTACTTAAAACCAAGAAAATCTTTAACTTCATAATTTAAGGTCTCTATTGCATTTCTGAAATGTGGGCTCCCCCTTGTGGCACCAATACCTTTACAGTCCCATGAATGTTAACCAAAGTCTAAGTGTCAAGTTTACATTTTGAAAGGAGCAGTAATCAGGTCAGTTTTAAGGGGTTTTATTTATTTTTTTAATTCCTTCCTCTACACCCCCCCATCCTCCCTCCCTTCCCCCCGCTGTCTTCCACCTCAGCTTCTCCAATCAGAAAATTAATTATTATGTTTTTGGGGGTGTAGTTATAGCCGTGTTGGTCTAAGGACATAGGTAGACAAGGTTCTTTGAGTAAATCTGATATCTTTTATTAGACCAACTCAAATAGTTGGAGCAATTCTTCTTCACAAGCTTTTGGGCACAAATGCTCTTTGCCAGGCCTGCACCCAAAAGCCTAGAAGAATTTTTCCAATTATTTGAGCTGGTCTAATAAAAGATATCAAATTTACCCAAAGAACCCTGTCTATGTTTTCAACATCTGAAGTATTCATACCAAAGACAGACAACAAGGTCTGTGCCTGAGGGGTTTGCAATTTAAAACAGGAGACCAAACCATAAGAAATTTGGAAGGGCTGGGGGGCGTGGAATCTATGATGGGTCGCTGGGAAGGGGAAAGTACAGAAATGTTTCTAAAAATATTGTGCATCTAACATTTTAAAAGTCCAAAAAACAAAAAAAGTGTCTTGGACTTGAGTTTGCTAACATGGAAGAACGCCAGTATTTCAAGACTACCTCAACATAAAGAAATATCAATTCCTAAGACTCCTGGTTGCAATATTAAAATACCTAAACACAAAAGCTTCTCTCCTTCTGGGCCAAACTGCTGAGGAAAGCAGATCCATACCCTTTCAGTATAGGTCAAATGGATTTCTTTGCAATTCACTATTCCCTTGAAGGTTACATTATGTAGTGTCAGTGTACCTGGGATTTTTAATTTTTTTTTTTTTTTTTAAATAAAAAGGATTCCATTTTTTAAAAATATATTCTGCCATACACAAATGAACTATAATGCTAATTACTTAAAAAAAAATCTTTGTCAAATAAAGCTAGGCTACTTACCTCCTGTGACTTCACACATGGGTGTAATTGCTGACTCATCAACTGGTACGCCTACTACCTGCTCTGGTTCTGGAGCTGTGATACCAGGCAAGCGCAGAACTAAAGCAAATAGTCTCTGATCCCAGCGAAAAGGTTCTTTAGTCAATTCACTTCCAGGTAAAGGAGAATTGAGAGGTAAGTGAAGCTGAAAAGAGAAATTAAATTTCTGAAATCACAATTTTCTGCAAAAATAAAAAAAAATAAAAATCAGGATCAGGAAGGTATATAATGACACCAATTTATGGTACATCTTCCAAACTACTTATGCCCAAATAATCTGAAAATCTGACAATATAGTTTAGATGTTACCCAAACAATGCAGGAAAATCATGCTTTAGGTAGCCCTATATTTAACTCATTTCATATCAACATAAAACACAAGCTCAAGATCCATAAACCACAAGAGAACTTCATCGTCTGAAGATGCATATTAAGTTTAAAAGTTCCTCAAACTTGCTTTATTAGAATTTCTGCAAGCGAAACTACTTTATTGTAATGCTGTTTCAACAATATTAAGCTCTTGTTGCTTAGTATGTATTAAAATGAACTTTTGCTGTACACAGAAAGAGCCATGCTCATCTCTCAAAGTCTGCTTTTCTGGATTCCTTGGGATAATAACGCACTACGGAATTAAACTATCAATGAAGTGGAAAAGAATAGTGAAAAGAAACATTTTGTTGTTATCAAAATTTAGCTGCAGTGAATTTAAATCTCTATTCAAAGCCTTCCAACTGTTAACAGCAGCTTCATAAAGAAGCAGTCTCTACTGAACTCTGAAATCTTTTGGGGGGCTCAGCTTATGATTATATTGTCAGAACTATCTTTTTTACATGACCATAAATGTCACCACAGCAAAAAAATGTGGAGATACCTTAGAAGTATTCAGAGAGATGCACACTCTCCCTTACTCATTTATACTAATGTCTGTGATGTATGTGGAGAGAGAGTAAGATTTAAAGTCAACATTAATGCAAGATGAATTCTCATGTTCAGCCAATGCAAACAATTACAATCAGAGAAAAATGACTCCCAGCAATTGGAAAAAAAAAATCTGCATAGTTGAAGTTGCAGAAAATACCCTCCAAAAATATTTTGTTTTTACTGTTGGAAAAAATGGCTATGAATTAAGTGAAATCATTTTGAACTTCTCAAGCATTGATGTTCAGAACATTATTTACTGAAATAGTAATGACCAATCCTGCTAAACTATACTAACAACATTTCTAAAATTATTCTGTAATTAGCATTATGCCTACTTAACAGAAGACGGAGTAATGAGTGCCCCAATCTTCCAAATAATGTTGGTCACATGGGTAGAACAGTCTATTTGTATCCAATACTTTGAATGTACTGAAATTTAGAACGATGTATCAAAACACAGTATATATTTTACGCAGGACAAAACAAAGAGAATAAACTCACAAAAAGCATTTAAAAGGTTTTCAGAAGGAGCCAACAGATTGTAGGCTGATAATACTATTGTTGGTAACAGTAGAAATCTAGTTTGATAAAATACAGGGAACTGAAACTATATAAGAACAAAAAGATTCAGGGAACATTTTCATCACTTAACTAACATGATTGATGACAGGGGCAAAGATTATAGATTAAGACCTGAACAGAGAGCAGAGACTAAAACATGGCTAGTAAAAGATAATTACAAAAGCTCCTTTCTTCTTGTATAGCATTTTTAATTGAAGATCCAGCTTTCAGATCTTAAACCTGCATTTGTAAAGGAGGTTATGTTAGCCTGTTGCATCAAAACTGTAGGAAGTTGTAGAAGCCAACAGAGAATTTAGAAAAGGCTTAAAAAAAAAAAAAAAAAAAAGACCTGAGCTCCTATTCTGCTAGCCTGACACCAATTTCCCCTTTTTTAAGTCATTTGATTTAGATTGGCTAGGAGCTTGTAACAAGCTGCTGCAAAAACAAACAAGTATTGATTTCTAAAGGTGGAAATCAAAAATAGTAAGTTTTATTATTAGACAGAGAATTCTTTTTTTTTGCTTAAAGAATTATTACATATTATGAAATATATGTAAACAATATGCCTTTTTGGTTCAAGAATAATCAGAATAATTGCTGCTTACTGATTTAGAATATCTTGGTCCAATTATCCATTTGCCTGGACCCTGAAAGCCTATTCTCATTTTTGTAATATGCATCAGAGAGAATAAGCAAACTCTGGTGCTTACAATCTAAAACTGTCCCTAAATTAGACGGAAGGGGAACACTTCCCCTAGCAGAACCCACCGTTTGAAATTAGTAAAGGACAACAAATTGTGCACTGAGCTTGTTACTGCTTTGTATGTTATATTTTATATCTTTTATAGTCTTGTAAGACAACGATTTGCCTTTCAATTTAATTTTGCTTTCCATAGCCCAGTTCTCTAATCTATCAATATCCTTTGTAATTCTAATGAAGATGAACCTCACCTGAGACCATTTTGGGATCAATCCATTACTCTTTATTTGCAACTATTCAATGGTCTATCTACCCAACTGTAAATTTATCTAGCTCATATTTCTACAGTTTACTTATAAGACTGTCATATGAAATTGGATCAAAGGCCTTACTAAAGTACAAATATCAAGCCAAAAACCTAGTTTCCCTGAGCAAAGGAGGAAATCAAGTTATTTTGGCATGTTTGTTTTTAACATGTCCATACTTACTGCTATGTCACATGCTTCTTCCTTCAGCTGTTTACAAACTGACTTAGAATTTTGCTTCAGGAATTTTCCAAATATGGAAGGCAGGCAAATCAGTCTGAACTTCCCTGGGTCCTCCTTATTTATTTATTTATGTATTTAATGGACAGTATATTAGCCATTCTCCAGTCTCCTAGAACTGGCCACATTAGCCCATGGAATCATATGATCCGGCCCGTGGGTTGCTAGACTGACCCAGCACTGCACATGAGCAGGGAAGGGCACAGAGAACCCAGTCACCACATGCGGCCTACACCCCAGATCCAGCTGATTACGATTAATCAGTATAGTAACCCCTGGCCTGCCCATTTGGGGCTGCTCTGGCCCAGACTGCGGGACACCCCTGCCCAGTCTGGTACCAGTGGGGCACCCCCTGAGCTGCAGCATGCAGCCTCTGACTTCCACACTCCCCAGAGGAAACTGAGCTACTTTCCTTGTGGACAGCAGACTAGGGCAAAGGAGGACTAGTACCCAACAGCCAGGCTCCACTTGCAGCCTCCCTGCTGCTTGCTACAGGTAGTGCAGGCTCTGTGATGGGCAGCAGGGGCCTGCCCGGAGCCTGAGCTGCTCATGGCAGGCAGCAGGTAGTCTACAAGCAACTGAACCAGGGTCCATAGAGCCTAGCTATAAGGTACTATCCCCACTTCCCTCCCACCCTTATCCCACCTGCCAGCCCTGCTGCCTTCTGGTTCCCACTGGGGCACCATGCAGCTTCCCTCCCTCCCTGCTGGACTGCACCCCACCCCACACTAAACAATAACCGATAAGTTATAACCAATTATCACTAGGCTTATTGGTAGAATGATTAATAATTTAACCGTTCCCATCCCTAGTCACAAGGTTATTATTGGACTGAAGCAAAATAGTCTGTTAAAAATTCATCCCCAGTAATGAACAGTGGACTCAGTTTGTTCTTTTCTGTCTGATGTATTGTTATTTTAGCCAATTATACCACATTTTTTGCCTTTGCTTTATTGATGATGTCCCTACATATCCTTGCTATTCTTTTGATATACTTTCTTAGTGAGTAACCTGTTCATCCACTGGCTGTCCATTTCTCTTTCAATTTTGATACAGATATGGAAGCTTCTGTGTAGACACATTCGTTTTCCATGGCTGCTCTTCTACCACTATGTGGGATGAGCTTGCTGTCAAGCCTTGAATGCTATGTCATTTAGGAATCGTGAGCCCTCCTTGACCCCTGTACCCTAGAATTTGTCTGTCCTTGGTACCTTATCTATTAAAGTGGAAATCTGCTACAAAAGTCATGTTCTAGTTTTTACTATGCTCGTGCCTTTCTTGTCTTTGAATTACAAAATCTATGACCTTATGATTACTATTTGCAAAAATTTTAAAGAGTTTTACATTCACATCCTGCTCTCCCTTGCTGATCAGAAAAAAAAATCTAATCTAACTGTCCCTCTGCAGTCCCCAGCTTCCTCATTCCTGAAACAAATTTGTTCTCATGCTGGATATGCTGTTTCACTGTATTTTTCTTCCAGTAGGTATAAGGGTAATGAAAATTCCTTATTACAACAATACCAGAAGTTTTAGATGTATTCCTGTTGCCAGGCCTCATCCACTTCCTCCTTAATATCACTACTGTTCTTTTCTCCCTTTATCTTCACTGATAAACTCTCAGACCTGACACTTCCTTTTAGACTTTAGAACAAGCACATACGTACACTGTGTACACTCATTGTATAACACAGCACCATCGCCTTTCTTCCATGAATTTATCCTTCCAGAAAAAGGTTCATATTCCAATGATAAACCAGTGATCCAGATGATGTGCTATTTAAATATATCACAACAGTACAGGAACATCTGAACACACTTAAATCACAATCCTAATATATCAGCATTCTTTTGGAAAGGCAATAGTATTAGATTAAAAGTACAGATCAGATCTTACCTCTTCCTGTATCCCACTGGTGGTTGTTAGTTTACTTCCATCAGTTACCGTTATGATTATTGCAGGCTCCAGAAAAAAGGGGTTTCTTCCCTAAAAGAGAGGTTAATTACATTAAAAATGCTACATTCAAATTGATAAGGTTCTGGTTTCAAATTCTTAACCTACGCTGATACACCAAAGGCCCAATTCAATACTTGCATAAATCAGTGGAAATTCCCCAATGATTTTAGGGACATTGGTATGGGTCCTAAATACATTTTTATTCCATATCTCCTGAAATTACCTATGAGTTTTTCAAACATTTTTACACCTGAAACCTCTTCGTGTGGAATATTATCTTTGTAATCAGAAAGTGTTGGTATTACTCCACTGCCAAACTACTGATGAAAATATGTTTTTAAAAAATAATTACCGAACTCAGAAAACAGATTGGCAAACTTCCTTACAGTAAGAACTTTAAGGTCAGAACTGGGTTAAGAACCAAAACACTCCACACACTGGACTACTCCTAATCTGGGACCAAAGATGTGAAGCCCATGATAGACCACCATCAGTATTTCATACTTGTTCTTTCTTCTGGTGTCTCCCTGGTTTCTTTGCTAAGTGTGAACACTTGGTCTTCATTTTCAAGAGCCAATAATGGGTCAGAACCCAACTGTACAACCGACTACATCCACATTTATACCTCACCAATACTGGCACAGTCTCCAATAGATACAAATTGGTGACAAACTTATTCAAACTGGAAATTAGAAGGAAGCTTCTGGTAAAAGGAAAAATAAAGTTTTGGGATGGTTTTCCAAATAAAAGAACAAAAATTAGGGACAAGAAGTTTGAATTGCTTGAAGATGGAGCTTAGTGAGTTTACAGACAGGATAGTATAAGACAGTGATATCCTTGGAACAATGATCTACACATGTGATATGTGCATTCAGATCTTATCTATGCCAATAATGACACTAAGAGGAAACCATCTCCTATCACATAGGAGGTGAATGGTAATCCCTTGTTTTAGGGCTTCTGGTAAGTATATATTAAAGGTAGCAAGGCCCCTGCCAGTTCAGGGGAGAGGCACTGGTGTTGTCATAGTCTCCCCCGGCTCTTTGTCTGTGACAGTAAGGTTTTTTCTACAAGGTACTTCATGGCCATGTTATGAGAGACAGACTGAAGTGGATGATCTTGCACACTTTGGAATAAATGGTTGTCTTGGAACACAAAAGAGTCTCCTTACTCTTATGCTCCAAAACAGCCACTCACCTGTGGAAAATGCTGTACATGAAACCTAATAAAAGTGTGAAAGACTCAGGGAAAACTTTACATCCAAGAGATAAACTATGCAAAGAATTTCTAGACACCAAGTTATTCATAATCTGACTGCCCTTACAACATGTCGAAAGACCCTCTCTTTTTGCTCAGACTCTCCCAATAACCAGAATATAAATAAAATCCTGTAACCAGGAAGTAGAAGACTCACTGAAACCACTAAGAACCATTATCATACAACCTATATCCCCATTATCATAGAGACTTATTTGACCTGAAGAGCAATTAGATACAATGGTAACAGGTACTATAAAAAAGAAAGATAATTTTTTTTCAAGCCATTTACTACAAAGCATCATTGTCATTTAGGGTGAATGTTTAGAGAATGGGAAATACCATAAACACTGAAGTTTAACAATTTTTGGTGGCAAGCATTCAATTTTAAATGGCATTCACTGTATAGTGCTCACTTATAAAATCAGTCTTTTACCATAGGGTAATAAGAGAAAAATATTGAAATGATTGATTCAGGGAACATTTATATGTTTAGACAAAAATATAACAGAATAATAGAAAATCAGGCCAGAAGGGACCTCAAGAGGTCATTTGTTCAACCCCTTGCTGAAAGCCGGACCATCCCCAACTAGATCATTCCAGTCAGGGCTTTGTCAAACTGGGCCTTGAAAACCTCAAAGGATGGAGATTCCACCTCTCTAGATAACGCATTCTAGTGCTTCACCACCCTCCTAGTGACAAAGTCTTTCCTAATATTCAACTTAAATTTCCCCTACTGCAACCTGAGACCATCACTCCATGTTCTGTCATCTGTCCCCACTGAGAACAATCTAGCTCCATCTTCTTCAGAACCACTTTTCAGGTAGTTAAAGGCTACTATTAAATCCCCTCTGTCTTCTCTTCTGCAGACTTAATAAGCCCAGTTCCCTCAGCCTCACCACAGAAGTAATGTGCCCCGCCCCTTAATCATTTTCACTGCCCTCCACTGGACTCTCTCCAACTTGTCTACATCCTTTCTGTAGTGGAGGGCCCAAAATTGGATACAGTATTCCAGATGTGGCCTCATCAGTGCTGAACAGAGGGGAATAATCACTTCCTTTAATCTGCTGGCAAATGCTTCTACTAATGTAGCCCTATATGCTGTTAAACCTTCTTGGCAACAAGTGTACACTGTTGACCCATCTCCATCTTATTGTCCATTGTAACACTCAGGTCCTTTTCTGCAGAGTTGTTGCTTGGCCAGTGGGTCCCAAGCCTGTAGTGGCGCATGGGATTCTTCTTTCCTAAGTGTATTTGTCTTTGTTGAACCTCATGTCTTTTGGCCCAATCCTCCAATTGGTGTAGGTCCCTCTGAATCCCAGCACTACCCTCCAGCCTATGACTCCCCTCAGCTCAGTGTCATCTGTAAACTTGCTGAGGGTGCACTCCATCCCATCTTCCAGATCACTGATGAAGATATTGAACAAAACCAGGCCCAGAACCAACCTTCTGATACCAGCTGCCAACTCAACCTCAAGCCATTGATCACTATCCATTGAGCTCAGTGATCCAGCCAGCTTTCTATCTACCTTGCAGTCCATTCATCCAGCCCATACATCCTGAGCTTGCTTCTAAGAATGCTGTGGGAGATGGTATCAAAAGCTTTGCTAAAGTCCAGGTATATTATGTCCACTGTTTTCCCTGCATCCACAGAGCCACTTATCTCATCATAGAATGCTATCAGGCTGGTCAGGCATGAATTACCCTTGGTGAATGAATCATGCTAACTGTTCCTAATCACCTTCTCCTCCAAGTGCTTAGAAAAGGATTCCTTTGAGGACCTGCTCCAGGATTTTTCCAGAAACTGAAGTGAAGCTGACTGGCCTATAGTTCCCTGGACAGTTCTTCCCTTTCTTAAAGATGGGCACTATATTTGTCCTTTTCCAGTCATCTGGGACATCACCTGATTGCCATGAGGTTTCAAAGATACTGGCCAGTAGCTCTGCAATCACATCAACCAACTCCCTCAGCACCCTCTGATGCATTGCTTCCAGCCCCACTGACTCTACACGTCCACCTTTTCTAAATAGTCCCTACCCTGTTCTTTCACCACTGAGTGCTACTCACCTCCTCCCCAAACTGTGCTGCCTGGTGTAGTAGCCTGCAAGCTGACCTTGCCTGTGAATACTGAAGTGAAAAAGGCACTGAGTACTTCAGCCTTTTCCTCATCATCTGTCACTAGGTTTCCTCCCCTATTCAGTAAGGGATCCACACTTTCCCTGACCTTCCTCTTGTTGCTAACATATTTGTAGAAACCCTTCTTGTTACTCTTCACACATCCCTTGTTAGCTGCAACTCCAATTGTGCTTTGACCTTCCTGAGTTCCTCTCTGCATGCCTGAGCAATATTCTTATACTCCTCTCCAGTCACCTGTTCAAGATTCCACTTCTCATAAACTTCCTTTTTGCGTTTAAGCTCATTGAAGAGCAGGGCCGGATTAATGCACAGGCAAACAAAGCACATGCCTAGGGCCAAGCTGCAGGAGGGCTCTGGTTGTTTCCTTCATGGCATTGGCGCAAATGGCCCCATCCACCTCCCTTCCCCTGCCTTCTGCTGGCCTCCCTGCTGCCGTGGCTGCTTCCTAGTGGTGGCTCCAAGCCCTGCTCCCTGCAAGTGGCAGCACGGGGGGTGGGGGGCAGGCGGCAGTCCTCAACTGCTTAATCTGGCCCTGCCGAAGAGTTCTCTGCTAAGCCAATCTGGTTGCCTGCCATTCATATTTGCTATTCTTCTCACCAATAGCTCAGTGACGAGTTAGCATCTGGCTCCAACTACAAATGGCATACATAGCAGAGCCTGAACAGATTGAGTAGGTCTCGGAAGATGCAACTCTCTCATGAAATCGTGAGGCCTCTATGCAAATGACCATTGTGTTTGTTTGGATCATCTCCTGAGATGCCCTGTAGCACTATAATGCACCCCACAAGAACTGGCAACACCAACACGAGAAGCAGTGGCCATTGCAGAATACTGGAAACAAACAATGTAGAATAGTTGGACTGGAGATGCAATGACAATGATGAACAACAGTTCAAGGTTAATGCTCAAAATATTTGTCTTAAATGTAACATAACTAGATTAATAAAATTTAGTTTCACTTTTATGGACATTATAAAACTACAAGACTAGAAATCAAACAATGCAGATGAGTATCTTTCATGAAGGAGAAGCTAGTTTATACAGTCATTTAAACTGTTAAAAAGATTAAGAATGCTAGTCAAGTACACAAACTTATTTTATAGCTTGCCAAGAACATCAACTTTTTTTCTTAACAGTTATGATATCCTTTTCTGTTAAATAGTTCTTCATTGGTAATGTGAAGCAACAACTGGAAACTAATTACAATGCAATGAAGCAATATTTAAAGTAGATTTCTTAGCTACTGAAAGAATATTTCTACCTCAGCTGATGGAAGAATAATGGCAATTCATAAAACAGACCAGCAATCAGAAACTTTTAATATGTTGCGGGCCAAAACAACCCAGCTCCCATCTGACACAGGCTGGGTGGCTTTGGCAACCTGCAAGCAACAGGTGGGGAAGGGACTTTCCCTGCACCCATGCTGAGGTCAAACAACTGGAAACTGCACCCATACTATGGCCACTCCTCCAAGCCCCCTCCCTTCCTATACCTTAGCTGTGGGCAGGCTCAGCTTCCTGCTGGTAGGGGCCTGCTCAAGTTCTAGGGACCTGGCAAACTGCACTCATGCTGTTGCTGCTTCTCTCCACTGCCCTCCTTCTCACCCCGCATCTGTCAGCTGCAGCATGGACACAGCT